CAAGGACATATGTTGAAAAAAAAAAAAAAAAGAAGAAAAGAACATGAGATAGACAAGGGATAAAATAGCACTCTCCTGACTGAGGAACCTAGAGGACTTTGGAAGGTGATCATGTACTCCATAAAGCATCCTGACCTTGGTGCCTCAGGGAACCCTCCTGGAAAAGAATTATCATAGTCTAAGAATAAAATAAGGGTCTAATCCTGTGCAAAACTGGTGGCCCTTAGCACTTACATGCCTTATGAGGATCTGAAGGCATTCAAGACTTTTTAGGATTTTGCTGGGATGAGGCTGGGCAGCTGCTGCCTGGCTGGGGGTTAAGGGAGTGGGAGTCAGGGGGATAGAGAAGAAAGGACCAGAGAACTGGAGTAAGGACAGGTCTGGGAAGAAGTGGTGGCAGTGAGAGTAGGCCAAAAGATAGCTGGGAACCATGGAGATGCCCACACAACAGGCAGCAGCCCCGTCAGACGGCAGCAATACTCCCTGTGGTCTGCTGAACAGGCAAGGCTCCTTTGTGAACATACAGCCCTTTTCTCATGGCCACCTGCTCCATGGCCAGCAAGTGGTGAAGGAGCAGGGGGTCCGACATAAGGGCAGTGGTGGTGGGGCTGCAGGCACAGTGCCAGAAGTGCGAGGGCTGGTTCTCCTGACTGCTCATTTGTGTGTTTGCTGGGTGAGGGAGAGCAGGACAGGAAAGAGTTAAGCCTAAAATTTACTGCAAACTTCCTCTCTGGTTTTTAGAAATCTTTTACTTAGTCATGCACTTTTTTCTAATTTGAGCATTCTTTGTGCAGTGTTTGTTTATCTCCTCAGCTTTTATCCACTTACTGATCCTTTTTGCAGTCACTGCATATGAAAAAGGTATTGGATTTAAATGCATCAGTTTCTTCACTCTACAAATTTTGTACTCTGCAGGAAAAAAAGAAGGCATGGGCTAATGGTTTACTTACAAACAAGTAAACTTTCCTGTTGGTGACCGGCACAATTAGTGATGGGAGAGGGGATCATTTGTCTTGCAGGCAGGTGTTTGCTTACCGCTGAGAAGCAGCTGATTGCGCCGGTATGAAGCTGGCAGCTGACCAATGTCTTCTATTCTATGGCTCATTACCCGGGAAAGGTGACCAGTGTGATAGAGGCTTCCCACAATGATGCTGTGCAAGTACATGGGTTCAATGAAGGAGCTGAGGAGAGCACCTTGGAGCCCAAGAATGTTCCATCTGGAAAAGAAATTCAGGAGCAATGAAACACACGGGTGGAGGAACGGCCACAAGAGAGCTGCCCTGGGAAAATCAGCAAAGGCCAGCACATGGGTTGGAGAGATGAGGCATAAAACCCTTCCTGTCCCTGTCCTGTGACACATGAAGCACTTCACTGTTGTGTTATTATACACCCGTGGACTGGTTCCCCTTCTACGATGGTTTTTGATTACTGTGGTGCCACTGACTTAAGGGATTGTGTTATTGCAAACAGAGGCCTCTTGTTGAGAGCTACTCTTTATAAAAGCATTTTGTGTTTGCTGAACGTTCATTTAGCATGTCTTTAGCAGAATTTCAGTTTTTTTCTGGATCTATAATTTTATGCTTGTCATGGTAAGCTAAAATGAGAGCTTTCGCTATTCTACCTTTATTTACCATTTGTCATACCTTAGTACCAACCCCTAGTCAAACAGCCAAGGTAACACATGACTTAGGTGGCCAAACTTCCCACAAAATTGTTGTGAATAATTTTCAAAAGCCTCAAAGGCTGATATTTCCTTGCACAAATGATCATGCAGATATGAAGACATCCACAAGAATCAAATCCTGTTCCTGAAGAGAAACAAAAGAGTTACAGTTTTAGGCAATTTATTTGTAAGCAATAGTTTAACCTGCACTCTTTAGAGAGTGATGGATATGTCTCACCCTGTTGCTGTCTTAAAGGTGCAACAGAGTGATGGTGGAAAGCTTGAGGCCCTCATTGATTGTTAATGGCCCCCAACCATTGTTAATGGTTGTGAGGTCCATACTACTGCTGTTGGATTAGGTGCCAGAACTGATCCACATTTTAATAGCCTACGAATTTTTACATCAAGCTAAGCACAGATAGGACAGGATGCTTGCTCCAAATTCTTCAGGGGACAGGTAATTGGTTAAAAAATGGAAAAATTAAAAAGGGAAAAGAAGTCATGATGCAGTTATCTTCCTGGCAAACTTATTTAGCTCAGCCCATCTACCAGGAAGTTGTTCCCCACCGCACAGACACTATCATGCTCTCTTACACTTGGATAATATTTTTATATGTTGAATGCTGTCAGTCTGTTTGAATAGTTTTGAGTTCAGGAGTTCAACCTGAAAATGCTTCAGAAAATGTAGTTTTGGAGAGTGTATTTTGGTTCATTAAAAACCAAAACACTGCCAACATTTGGAACTCTGTAGCTGACTGAAGGAAAGGGTAAGGGGTGCCTGCTATTTAAGGCAACATCCAGTGGCTGCCATGCTAAATAATGTGTTTAAAGCACAATCTCCATCAGCAGCAAGCATTATGTAGCTAATTTCTTACATCATTGTTCTTTTCATTAATTAACATTTCTCAACCATTGGTGCAATTATTGCAGTGCCTCCATGCTGTATGTCTCTTTTCATGATTAATAAGGAGTCATTATATTTCCCTTTCCTGAAGCAGTCAATTAACACGGAATACTTTCCATTAATTACTGAATGTTTAAAACCAGCATGCTGTACCTGGAGAGCAATCTGCTCTAGGAACCTGTGACACCAATTGCTTTAAAAGTTCTCTTTAAATTTTATTCCAAAAACACAAGCAATTTAGCTGGCTATATTAATTTGCCTCCGAAGCAGGGCTGTGAATGAGAAACATCTTTTAATCTCATGCAAGAAAAGGCAGCCATCTGGCTGCTGAGGATTTCAGAGTCAGACTCTCCCCGTCTCCCTCTGTAAATGCAGGTCATTAAAGTAATGTGTTCATCTACATAAAACTCAAATGGAATATAAAAGGTAATATTTATATACAAACAATTTAGTCCCACAATTTAAGCAGTCATTGGTTTTATGAAACATTTACTTTAGTCGATCAGATTTGCATAACTTCATTTGGGGAAAAAAAAGTGTGGTCATTCCTGCAAATAACATCACTTTAAAAGGAAAGAACTAGCTGCCTCTTTGAGTAAATATCTTATCATGATGCAAAATTAATAATGCAAGCTTAAGAAATAGAGTTTAATTCAGCCAACAGTGCTATGCCTCTGACCAGTTTCTAAGATGAGTAAAAAAATTGGACAGTGATATCTTTGTCCAGATGAAAACTTGTAAGATATCAGTGTTATTTTCAACATCTGACATTTCCTTTAAAAAAACACTTGTATATTTGATTGAAGGAGAGAAAAAAGCAGCTAAACAGAAAAACAACATATGTTCAACAATATTGGAATTTTAGCAATATGCACATCACAAGAAATCATCTGAGCTTTATTTACCAAAATAGGGGATTGTGTTCAGATCATAAATTACAAAGTAATAATGATTATTTAATTTAAATTCTTTGCAAGGAACCTGCCTTTTCTTTAGAGATATATCTCTGCCTAATTTTGAACGTGTTCGTCCTAGTGGAAAAAGAGATTCAGCTGTCAATGGAATTACACTATTGGAGACCATACTGTAAGCATGATCAGGTCATTTCCTATGTATTAAAAGCATTTCATAAACATTAATTAATTCTCACAATGCTGTGAGGTAAAGCCCCATTTTTGTACACCCCAGAGAATGGAGGCTGAAAGGCAGTATGATCTGTTGCAAACTGCTGCATTATTCAGAGACAGAGCAAAAGTCCTGGACACAGCAGTTGTTCCTCGAGACAACCCTGTCTTCCCACCCCAAAAATGTCCCAGGCAGGTGTAGGGGGCAATGAAACAGCCACAGTGAGGTTTGACTTCAAGGTATAAAAGTAGCTACAAGACGGCTTGGAAGAGGGGTTGGACCAAAGAAACAAAGGACATAAAGGTTGTGAGAGCAAGTGCTGTGTCTAATGGGCAGAAAGTGGTGTAAAAAGAGACTCAGCCCAGAACCAGATGGCATCCTACGGTAGGAAGGACAGAAAAATCGGAAAAGGTGCCAATACCGAGAAGGCACTATTCTGAGGGGACTGCTTGCCAGGTCTCCTTGAGCAATGCTGAGGCTGGTGTCTACCATGGTGGAGAAACAGGATGAGGGTGGTGGCACTACCAACTGTACACCGGCCACTTCCCAGTGCGACTCACCTCTATTTTAGCAGCATCCATTCAGCGAAGAGGGATGAAAAAGCAGAGAAGGAGCTTTGCTTTCAAGTTTAGTCCAAGTCTGACAAAATGTTTGGCCGCTTGTTTGTTTCTGGAGAGCAGCCCTGAGCACATGCATGAATCCCACCAAGTCAGCACAAGTCCTAGGCAAAGAGGGGTCGTGCTGAACTGGCCAAAATGAGACCCTCGTGCTGTTACTCTTGTCCTTCCGAGCACAATAAAAGCACATTAATGAGGGGTGAAATTTTCATCTACTCATTCTGCTTTGTGGATAAAAAGACCTACTTTGGAGGGCAGCCAGTTCAGTATTTTGCATAAACAATAGATTTAACTGACAAATATTTGAGGAAAGGTCTTTTATCCTGTGTACTGTTCATCTCTTGACCAACACATATGGCTAATGTACTAACTCGTTCCTTTGATATCTGAACATCTACGGAATTATTTGTAGGTGGAGGATGGGGAAAGATCTGTCTGAGCAACACTGAAACTATCAATAAGGGTGCTCATTTTTGAAGGAGCTATTTCTCTGTAGCCTAATTTAGGTCCATGAAAGTAGCTGTGTTCCCATCTGTAACAAAGTGCTCTCTTCAAATGTAGCTTTTCAAAATAAAATTATTATTCAGAGCAATGCAGTGTTACATTTTGGGTCTTCAATATATCAAAGTGACTTTTCTCGCTATGAGGAAATATGCTGTATCATTCTGAATTTTCCTAATTGTGCAAGATTTTAAGGGCTGTTTTCAAGGGCACGCATCTCTCTAATAACTTCTGTGCTGTGCGCTTCATAATAACCCTTCCAATAAAGTGAAAATCAACCCACTGCTTCCCTAGTCACAGATCTTATTTAAAAAAACCAAAATCTTCAGCAAGCAGGATCAATAAAACCAAATGTCTCCCCATTTCACTTGAATATGGCAGCTTTTGGCACTTTAAATGGAAGGAAAGTATACCCTTCTTTTTGTTCAAACAGCAGATATTACTGCACTGTTTACAAAGACAAAATCCTGCGTCCGGTTTTCAATATAGATAATCCTTGAATAAATATATTTTTGCCTGTTTGTCAATCACAGAAATGCCAGCAACGAGCTGGGAGACATCCCAGAGCAGGCAGCCTTCCTTTAATTAGAGGCTGTGCTCCCCACCCCCAGATGTGGGGTGAGCTGGGGGTGAGCCCCTGCTGAGCCCCCACGCTTCTGGCATCCTGGGACCACTGGCGAGATGAAATGTGTCCCCAAGTCATAATGGCTTTGCAGCCTCCCCACCTGCATGCTGGAGCATCATCTCACCAAGTGAGTTGGCTGCAGCCCCCCAACCAAAATATGGATGATAAGAACACTGAGGAAGGGGCTCGGGGGCAAACCCACGGGGTTGCAAAGGGTGGGTCTGCAGGTGGCTCCTCACCCATCGCTGAGATGTGGTGTGACACCTGGGGCCCTTTCACTGAGTATTTCCAGCATCAGTTTGCACACAGCGTTACTCAAAGCCGAATGCTGACACGCTCCTGCCCTCGAAACCCTTCGAAACCGAGATGTGGAGAAATTTGCACGATGCTTCAAAACATCTCAGGGAGCTGCGTCCACCTGCCATTGAAGCTTGGTGAGACTGAAGTGTCTCCTTGGGACCTTTGAAAACCTCGCCCATTAAAAAGCACGGCTGATGAATTTCAAAGCGCATTTTGTTAAGGCTTTTTATAAAAGATCCTTTTTTTTTTTGGACATTACTAAGAGCTTTAAGTCTTACCCGCTTGGCGTGTTGTTAACCTCCTGTACCACAGTTTCTATTACCAATACTTCCAGCTATGCTTCACACAATATAAATTGTTATTCATGGCGGCCTGTGCTCAGCAGAACACCTGTGGTGTTCCTATTTATATGACCATTTAGCTATTATCGGTTTGGAAACTGGAACTAGTGCATTAGTTTTTGATCTGTATTTTAACAGTAG